GTGCAGGAAGGGAAGGTTGTGTTTGCCAAGACCACCCATGCTTGCAGTAACAAAGAGCATCATGTCAACACCATGTTTGCAGCAAGCCGGCCCCCCAACCCCCTGCTTTCTTAAGGCCATCCATGCTTGCAATAAGCATCATGCCATCATCATGTTTGCAGTAAGGGAGGCTTGTGCGGATCATTTTGTTTGCAAATTGGGGGCAGTGCCCCTCAACCCCCCTGCTTTTTGAGTGCTTGCAATAGAAAGATACAATGTCTTCACCATGTTTGCATGAAGGGAAGGTTTCGTGGATCATGTTGTTTGCAGATAAATGGGGGGCCCGCGCCGCCGCGAACTAAGAGCGACGACAGTTACGAGGATCGCGACCTCCACGATCCCTCTAACTGTCCATCCGCACCCTTTTGAAAGCCCATCCATACTTGCACGTGCCAAAAAGAAGCATCATGTCATGACCCTGTTTGCAGTAAGACAAGGTTGCAAAGATCATGTTGTTTGCTGTTTTGGGGGGCTGCGCCCCCCTTTTCAGCAAGGGAGGCTGGTGCCCATCAGTTTTGGTGCAAATAAGGGGCTGCGCCCTCACCACCCCCCTGCCTTTTTACGGCCATCCATGCTTGCAACCAAGAGCATCATGTCATCACAATGCTACTTGTAGCACTAAGGCAAATCATTCTGTTTGCACGTTGACGCCTTTAAAAACCAAGGGGTCCGAGGGTCTAAAGGCGACGACACGTACGAGGATCGCAACCCCGACCCCCACGATCCCTATGATTGTCCACATTTTGAACGCGGGACATGTTTTATCTTTTGATCTCGAAATTTTGATGTTTTTTGAAAACATTTTCCATTTTTGTTGTAGGTCACCCCTGCCCGAGAGTGCTCATGCATTGAGCGTCCTCGATGTCCAGCTGCCTGAGCGCGCTCCCAAATCCGGCTACCCGACTGCTCTCCCGCGTGGAGCGTCCTCGAAATCCTGCTGCTAGTGCGCTCCCGTGGAGCGTTCTCCGAGGACGCTCCACGCGGCAGCGCGCTCGGGCAGCCGGATTTAAAGGACGCTTCATGCGGGAGCACGCTGGACAGCCAGATTTAAAGGACGCTCCGGGCGGGAGCGCTCTCGGGCAGCCGGGTGTCGAGGACGCTCGATGCGGGAGCGCTCTCGCGCAGCCGGATGTGAAATCCGGCTGCCCGAGTGCGCTCCTGTGTGGAGCGTCCTCGAAATCCGGCTGCCCAAGAGCGCTCCCGCCTGGGTACCCAGACAAGAAACCCAACAAAGAAAAACAGAAAACATATTCCCAAGCCCCTGGCACATTGGTACTTGGAAGTCATTGCTTGATGTCTCGCAGGAGACGACGCTTAAACATCAAACGCACGTCGTCGTGGTGGTGGTGGTGGTGGTGCTGCTGCTGCTGCGGCGCTGGTGGCGGTGGTGGCGCTGGTGGCGCTGGTGGCGCTGGTGGCGGTGGTGGTGGTGGCGGCGTTGGCGGCGGCGGCGGCGCCGGGCGGTGGTGATGCTGGTGGTCTTGGTGGTGCTGGTGCGAGTGT